TTTTTGAGCGTCTCGGAAGCCGAACCTTCCGGCTTTCGGACGCCAAAAACCTGGAAGTAATTGCTTCCGTTTTCGGACACACCTCGGAAGTCGAACGACTTCCAAGGCGTCTTTCTCCATTTTCTCAATGGATTCCACAGACCATCCATTGAGTCTTGGTTGTTGAACATTTCAAAAGTCCAACGGTCTTCCAGAACGGATACCACTGTACATCTTTAATGAATAAATACTATTCCTGGGCAGATTCTGCCTTCCTGGCTAATGCTGTTCTCCACCATCAGGGCAAATACATCCTGACACCCAGCCCCATCAGCTATGGGGAGGAGCAGCTGCTGCATTTCTTCGGGCAACTGCTGGGCATTGCCATCCGGGCAGACGTCCCCTTGCCCCTGGATCTCTTGCCCTCCTTCTGGAAGACTTTAGTTGGAGAATCACTGGATCCAGATGTTGACCTCCAGGAGGCTGACATACTGACCTACAACTACATCAAGAAATTTGAAAATGTAAGTGATGCTTCCTCACCTTCCCTTAATTTTCAGTCACCTGTAGAAGCTGCTGGATGACAGACTATAAAAGGAGTCCTGATTGTTTCAGCCAAGATCTATCTTGGATTGATTGTGGGTCTCCTTTCATCACTCTGTCTACTTTGGTGGCATCCTGGGGAAATCCAGTGGGGCTGAGTGTGGGTCAGACTGCAGGTTGAGAATCAGGAGAGCCAAGCAGCCTGGAGATGTGCTTTACAGTGCACCAAAAAGTGAGGCTAGAAATTTTCAACATTCTTTTATTACAGGTTTTCCCCACCAAAAGTCTCTGTGCATCTACAGCCCCTCTTGTGTTAACCACCCTTTTAAATAACCCATAGATTTACAGTGTGAATCTCAAGGCCTCTAAGTACTCAGATCAGAAAGTGCATGCACCCAAATGATAGACATGCCCCATTTATCTGCTGGTTTGTCTTTAGAGTTTTTAATTTGTGATTTAATATTTTATTGTTTTACAATGCTCAGAGTGCTTTATATGGGCTGAAAGTTGTATAAATAATACATTTCCAAATATATGCACAACATGCTTGACCAGTAGACAGCAAAGAGCTCCCAACCATCAAAGCAGAATCCACCAGGAATGTCTGCAAAAGCCTCTCTGGAAGGAATGGAACTTTGGCAAGAACTCCTGCAATGCTGGTGGGACTTGGGTGAGAGAGGCTTCCAGGGAACTGTGCTGTCAAAAGTTCCGCTCTGTTTTAACCACTGTTATGTGCACACTCCCTGTCTCTCTCAGAAACGCCAAAATCAAGATTGCTGCTCCATTTTGCAGCATTTCCAAAAAGCATCTGTCTCTTGGTTCACAACTTAGGCAGAGTGCTGTGTCTTAAAGGAGCAGTTTTTTTCTTACAACATGTGTCATAGTTCTGACTCAGCAATTGAGGAGCACCTCCTCAATGACATCACATATAGATACATGCCAAAGTTATGTCTGTTGTTGTTTAGTCGTTTAGTCGTGTCCGACTCTTCCTGACCCCCTGGACCAGAGCACGCCAGGCACTCCTGTCTTCCACTGCCTCCCGCAGTTTGGTCAAACTCATGCTGGTAGCTTCGAGAACACTGTCCAACCATCTCATCCTCTGTCGTCCCTTTCTCCTTGTGCCCTCCATCTTTCCCAACATCAAGGTCTTTTCCAGGGAGTCTTCTCTTCTCATGAGGTGGCCAAAGTATTGGAGCTAGTGTGTCTGAAGGAGAATGAGTGCTCCTGAATGTGACCCAGGAGTCCTAAATGCCTGCCCATCCTCATGGGCCCAAGGCAAGTGGGGCAGGAAGAGATCTGTACTGTACAACTCTTACTGGCTACCTCAGTGTTTCTGGAAAGGCCCACAACAGGTTTAGGAAAAATGGATGGATCCTGTTTTCTGTCCCTTCTGGCTCCAGCACTCTGGAGTTGCCACTCATCAGGGCCTTGGCCTCCCCTAGCTAGTAGCTGCCCTATTCTCTTGCCTGCTCCAGAAGTCCTCTTGCCCTTCTTCTCAGCACCTTTTCCAGTCTTCACAATGCCCTAGCAATTTTCTCATTTCTGCAAGTCTTCCTTCAGTGAGCCAAGGCCAGCTGTCCTCCCACAGTGCCTGGTGGCTGTTGTCCTTCTGTATGAACCTGCTCCTCCCGTTTAAGTGAATTGGGAGCCCCATCCATCTGCACTCCAGCTGCACTTTGCAGATCATGTAGGCCAGGGCATTGAGGCATTTGCTTTGCCTGGGAAGGCTGAGCCAAGCCAGATCCTTCCTCTCTGGTACTGTAATTCGCTGTACGCAGGGCTGCCCTTGAAACTGTCCCACAAACTCCAACGGGTCAGAATGCTGCAGTGAGGCTCCTCACGGGCTCCCTGCCATGGGAGCATATTCACCCAATGCTTTACCAATTGCACTGGCTCCCAGTGGAGTATAGGGTCATGTTCAAGGTGCTGGTCTTGACCTTTACAGCCCTTTGTGGCTTAGGGCCCTTGTATTTATGGGACCGCCTCTCCTGGTATGCCCCGCAGAGGACCTTAAGGTCCATGAATAACCATAGTTTCGAGGTCCTGGGCCCTAAGGAAGTCAGATGACTTTTCAGTGATGGCTCCGACCTGGTGGAATGCTCTGTCCCATGAGACTAGGGCCCTCCAGGATTTAACCTCCTTCCATCGGGCCTGTAAGACAGAGCTATTCCACCTGGCCTTTAATTTGAATTCAGCCTGATCTTTTATTTCCCTTGTCTTCTCTCCCCTTTTATGAATATTACCCACTCTGAGACCCCACAGCTAATTCTCCCCTGGCCTCCTCGCTGGTCCAAGTAGGACTAATTCAGCCAGCCAGCCCTGGTGACTATCTAATGCTTATTAGATGGATTTTCCCCAAATTGATTTCTGAACTTTGAATTTTATGGTTATTCATGTTTTTATACTGTCTTTTATGCTGCTTTTACAATTAAGTGTTTTAAATTTGTTGTTAGCTGCCCTGAGCCCGGTTTTCTGAACCCCGAAGGGTGGGGTATAAATAAAAGATTATTATTATTATTGGTGTTGTCCTAGCTGAACGACGAGTCGGAGCTGGAGGCCCTGTGTGCTGAAATTGCTTCCCAGCACCTTGCGATGGAGAGCCCTGACTGCCCCAACAAACCGAGCTGCAAGTTCACATACCTGACAATGACGGGGGAAGAAGTGGAGCTGTGCACCAGAGGCAGGCACATCCCGGTTGTGTGAGTAGCAGGGGTCTTTGGGATAAAAGGATTCGCGTGTGGGCAGTAGGGGGGAAGGCTGCATCATGGGAGTGTGGCGAGAGTTTCACCCTGGAGCCCTGACTGTCTGCCTCTTTCCCCTCAGGTGGGAGAACAAGGACGTCTATGCAACAGCCATCCGGAACCTGAGGTTACGCGAGCTGCACAATCCAGAGTGTGCGACGGCCGTGAGGGCTGGCCTGGGCTCCATTATCCCTTTGCAGCTTCTGACCATGTTGACTCCCCTGGAGATGGAGCTGAGGACCTGCGGCCTCCCCTACATCAACCTGGAGTTCCTCAAGGTGCGTCGCTGCAGAGTGGAACCTTCCCCAGCCAAAGGTTATGCAAACCTTGTAGCTGCATCCAGAGGGTTGGAAGAATCCGGTAGTATGGAGCCTTTATTTATTAGATATCGGATCCAGTTTAAAACATGACTCAAGTCCAACAATACAGTGCTATGATTCTGGTAGCAGAGGGTGGAAATGAGCCAGAAGCTTGATGGGGGGAAAGATCCATAAGGTTTGGGGTCCTCAGGAACTTCTCCCGCTTGCGTCATAACTGTTCTCCCTCTCCCTCTTTGTCTTTTGTGGTGGGCAGGCACACACCATGTACCAAGTGGGACTGATGGAGACCGACCAGCACATTGAGTTTTTCTGGGGGGCGCTAGAGATGTTCACACAGGAGGAGCTCTGCAAGTTCATCAAATTTGCCTGCAACCAGGAGCGCATCCCCTTCACCTGTCCCTGCAAAGATGGCGGACCAGACACTGCGCATGTCCCTCCATACCCCATGAAAATTGCACCTCCGGATGGCACTGCAGGTGAATGGGCCACTGGGCTCTGAAAGAGCTTTGTTTGCACCTTTGGGGAAATGAGTATTTTTACCGAATCTCACCAAGCTGAGGACTAAGTTGACAGACAAGCGAACATCCCGAAATGTTGCGATGAGATCAGATTATGCTTCTGACATCACTTTGACTTTCAAAGCAACTGAACCAAATGGGAGTGAAACCCTTCTTGACTTTTGGGGGCATTGATTTACTTTGCTGTGTTTGTAAAGTTCCTTGATGTTTCATCAGGAAAGTGGTATATAAATTGACAGAAAGGCTTACTGTGCAAGACACACAATGCAAGAGAAGAAAGGGGCAGAGGGAGGGAAGAAGAGAATAAGCAAATACACAAAGTTCTTCTCCAGCTCAGGTGTTGAAGCATCATTTACATATGGGAGTTGCCATATATTTGCCCTAGTTTCCCTCCAGATCTCTCAGTTGTCTGGTTTCAGAGTTTAGAATCAATGTCTTAAAGGTACCAAGAACTACTAAGAAGGAAAAAAAGCTCTTGCCTATGGAGCAGATTTAACCGCCTCTCTTCTTTTCTGCGGTTCTTTGTAGGTTCCCCAGACTCGCGCTACATTCGTGTTGAGACCTGCATGTTCATGATCAAACTTCCTCAATACTCCTCCCTGGAGATAATGCTGGATAAACTCCGGTACGCCATCCACTACCGTGAAGACCCTCTCAGCGGCTGAGCTGCAGAAGTCCTTGGAAGAGGCTCCTGCCCAGCTGAAAATTGACACCGACCGGCGACAAGGCGAGAGTTGAAGGCAGATTCTTTCCTCCAAACCTTTGCCTCTGCAATGGCACTTGCAGGGAGGCTTCCATTTCATACTTGTAGGCTTTTGTGGTGGATGGGTTGTCTTGTTTGTGAAATATTTCTAGGGTAAGTTTAGTACACAGACTGATGTTCACAAACCTTGAGATCCTTACCTTTCTTTCATAATTAGAAGAGTGCTAATCACTGAATGGGAAATTAATGAAGCTTTCAACGCAGAGTTCTCCCCGCTATCATTTCTGAGTGCAAAAATGGAGCGGCTGCCACTACAGAAGCCATTGACACACAACAGAATCCTCACTGGGGCAATGACTGAAAATCTTCCCTTCCTGCCAGGGATGCGGGTGGCCACTTCACAGCATTCCACACCTCCAGGTTTTGGTGTCAATTCACACGTTTCATTAAAGAGAGGTTCTATAGAAACAAGTTTCTGGGTTCCATCACACCACAAGTATGAATTACTCTTTTGCACACACACAGACATGGTACAGTGGCTAAAATCCACCGGCCCTGCCTCTTGGCTCTCTACAGTTAGCAAAGCCGGTGGACGCCCTGCGACGTTTTTGTACTCAGAAATGATCACTCGGAAATTATTACTACTAAAATGTTGCATCCAGAAAGTGGGGGAGATGAGAAGCGTCTGACTTCCGAGGTAATGTTTTACTCTTTCTTGGGAAAGCTACAGGCACGATCCGCTCTGTCTTGCTGTTTTGTGGCTTTCTTTTTTGCTTCATTGGGCTTTCCACTGGGTTCCTACACAAAGGGAGCTACACAAGAGCTGGGTGGAATGGGCCTATTGCAAGGTGCACCCTGCCTCAAGACCCATCAAGCAGACACATTTCCCCCCCTTTACTAATATGAAGTGTTGTGGGTCCTGAAGAAGGTAGTGTTGCTGGATTGATCCATTTCTGGGTTGCCTTCAAACCCAAGATGCCGTGCTATGTAGGAGTTTAAGTGCCAGTACTTGATTCTAAATCTTGTTTTTTTGGCCTGCGAAAGCCTCGCCTGCAGTTTTGCAAGATGTAAGCTAGAGCCTGGCGGGAGACAAGAGTCAGAATAGTTTTGCTTGCCTGTAGCAACAGAACAGCTGTATTTATTGTATATAACTGTGAATACTGGTAATTATTTGGGCTGCATGGTGTGTGGAAGGAGTTCGGGGAAGAGTGTGAAAGGAAGAGTGTGACTGTTTTTAGAGTTAGATCTTGGCTTCCAACTTCCATTGTCAGAGAAGAAGAACTCACACCTGTTTAGGTATCACTTTCAGCTCTTGAGCCTTGCCCATTTTCTGGCCAAAGTGGGCACAATGCGTTCAGATGAAAAACAAGTGTCGCGTGAAGGACATGCTGGGCTGAGCTTCACCCAAATCTGGCTGGTTTTGATTTGTTTTTGAATTGCCCAGCTTTCTCTTAAGGGAACTTCTCGCTCAGTCAAATACCTCACAGGCCTTTCTGTTGCCAGCTGTGAATATGAGGAAGCTGTTGCTGCTGCCGTTCCTGCTGCTTCCTCCTCGAGGACGTAGGGACGTTGGGAGTCTCCACCCCTCGGCCCAGAAGCATGTGTGCTGTAAAGTGACTTGATGTATATTTATTCCAACTATTTATGGTTGCATTTAACAAAACAAAATGTCCTCCATGGTGTTTACACCCCGCCCGGCGTAAATGGAGTTTCTGTTTGGGAACATTTTGTATCCAAATCTTAAGCCCTTCATCTGCGTTGTGGATTCCTATTTTGGAAGAGCAGGTAGGGACAAGTTAAAGGGTGCTGCTAAGACTGAGCAAGTGGCAAAGAAATCTGCCCTGGACTTCCTGAACCCATCAAATTGGTTCTTGTTCACTGTATGAACATTGACTATATAGTCTGCAGTAAGAGTGTCTCTCACTACTCTGGGTTGTGACTTTTTATTTTTAACTTGAATATTCATTCCGAATGTAAAGCTGTCCTAACAACAGCAGAGAATATGGATGTTGAGGCATTTAAGCTTATGTTGAGGCATCTGTTTTGCTATTTATTACACACTGTTAACCTGTTTTAAGTGCTCTTGGTCAGGTATGAAATATCCAGGCTAAAAGGGAAATCTTACTACTTGTCTGCTCCTTAATCTTTTGCCTGGAAACAGCAACCCTGTGACCTCCAAGCTGCATTCACCTACAGAAAGTTAAAACTACTTGAGATGAGGAATTGCAGGCTGCCTGATCTCTGGCTCATTTGGAGATGGGTTTAAAGCACTGTAGTTTTTAATTTGTATTTAATTACAGCAAACGTGTAAATATTTTGTACAAAAGGGAAAAGTGAGCCAAGGGATGCCATTCCTCTTGTGCAGAAGGGGCTCCCAAGTTCCTCCTTCTGCCCAAGGGAGATGAGCTACCAAGCTGACAAGTGTGTTTTGTTTGCCTTTTTTTGTTTTGTTAATTTATTTTCTGCTTTCCACACCTCGATTCTACTGCGAAGGTCTCCCCTTAGAACTGTTGTCCCTTCTCAACTATATCAGATACAACCTTAGCTTTCCTCCGTAAACCCACCACAGTGCTTTGCCCCTGGAAATAACATTGCAAGGTTAGTTGCCACTTGTTTTTCAGAAGTCTCTTTGGCTTTTCTTGTATTTAATAAATGCTTACTTTTGGTGGAAGTGTCCTTAAAGCTGCTTTATATATGATCAGCTGGGCCTAGAGCATGTTTGTGTGACAGAGGCTTCCGCTGACCTTCACCAGGCACTAGGAATCACTGGAACCAGAATGCCTCAAGGGGCAGAATGAAAAACCTCCCATCCAGTTCTTTTGTGCAGGCTTTCAAAGCAGCATTGTTGATTGTGATAACTGTTTATGTATCTGTACAAACTTTACTGGACCAGTCCCTATGAAGTCAAGAAAGGAGAGGCTGGGCATTTGCTAAATGCACCTTGAAGCCCTTTGCAACACATAATATGTGCCAAAATGGCAAGCTAGTTGCTGAGAGCAGAGACTAGAGCTGGGCTGCCTTTTGTCATTTGGCTACTGAAAATAATTAGAGAGTGCGCAAAGATCTGTAACTAACTACTGCCAAGGCTCTGTCATACTTTGAATTCTGTTACTAGACTTTTCATGTACCCACAGAGTTCTTCAGAGGGAGTTCAGGGTGATCTTTAGCTGCATTAATAGAGCAGTCTAAGCAGTGAGCAGAGCTACTATTTTAGCCTTCATTGCTAGCAGGAGCAGCTCTTGTTTTTCTACCGTCCTTTTTGCATCCTCCACTATCTCACAGCCAGGGCTCTGTAGATGAGGGGATTTTGGCAGTTCTCATAGAATTGTAGGATCAGAAGGGATTCGGAGGGTCATCTAGTCCAACTCCCTGCAATGCAGGAATATCATTGCCCTGTTTTGTGTGGTTTGTTTTTTTTAACCAAGATCAAGGAGTGAGTTTGGGGCTCTGTTTGGACACCATTTTGAAACAACACGGCAGCTTGAACCGGCTGATGCCACCACCTCCCCAAACTGACTTCTGCAAGTGAGGTGCATGTGGCTCAGGCCGCTGTTTCCCATAATGCAGCAGAGGCGGCAGCAGCTGTGATGTGGGAGGTGATGGCAGGGCCTAACCACCACTGAGCTCTGGTGTATTGGGGGACTATTGTATTTAATACAGTGGCACCTTGGGTTAAGAACTTAATTCGTTCTGGAGGTCTGTTCTTAACCTGAAACTGTTCTTAACCTGAAGCACCACTTTAGCTAACGGGGCCTCCCACTGCACAATTTCTGTTCTCATCCTGAAGCAAAGTTCTTATCCCGAAGTAATATTTCTGAGTTAGCGGAGTCTGTAATCTGAAGCGTCTGTAACCCGAGGTACCACTGTATTTTGTTGGAAGCCAACCAGAGTGGCTGGGAAACCCATTTATTATTATTATAGCACAGGAGAGGTGAGCACAAGTAGCCCTGGCACAACATGACCCTTCCTGCAATGTGGCTGGATGTATGTGCAGGGAGAGAGGCAGTCGTCGTCCCGACACACACTTTTTAATATTTTTCGCCAAGTGTATAAATCTGAATGCTCACAAGTTCGATGTGCGTAAGTTGTGGGCTTACTGTAAAAAGAACAGTGGTGATTTTTCCTTCCCAAACTTCCGAGTTTTCAAGTGCACAATGTTAAGGAGCTCAGCCCACCATTTCAAGGGTGCTTGTTAAATGAAGTAACTCGGGCAGAGACCATACGCCCCTTTGGAGGGCAAGTGATGGAGCAGTGGGTCACATGAGGACACAGCAGTGACTGCTGCAGCTTGAGAAACTGCTCCTCTGGTTTATATTTTCATATGTGGCATCTAACAAAATGGTACTGGGGGGGGGGAATTGGTTTTGAGTTCAAATCTCAATCTATTCAGTATATTTTGAAGCAGATTTAAAACAGGTGGAGGATGACAAAAGCTCTGCTACTGCACAGGACGCAAGAATGACGAGATACAAAGTTTATTACAAGAAATTTGAGACAGTCTCCAGTATAGCAGAATAATCAGCATAAAGTGAATGAACAGAAGCCTGTCTTGGTTTTGTTGTTGTTGTTTTTACAGAAATGAAACTGGGCACTTCTGGTATTAAAGATAGGCTATATACACACACACACAGTGGCAGAATAATGAAATGTTATGGCTTTTCCCTGTGTTTCTTCTTCCTCCCATTTGGTTACACACTCCTGACTGGGGAAATAGATTGCCATGTGCAGTTAGAGCACCAAAGGTACAGGTTAAGAAGCCCAATAAGTTGAGCTTAAGCCAAAGCGGCAACCAACCCAGGCTTCCTCACAAGGCCTTGCCTGGTAGCTGCTAGGCCAGCCACAAGTCTAAAACACACAATCCCATGTGTCATTAACGGCGCTGCACGCGGACAACGCCTCAAGGCTGAGCATTTTAAGCAGAACTTCTACGATACTCTCAGCTCAGTTTTGACTATAGGACACATTTGAATCTGACCCCCCCCCTACAGACACACACCCTGGCCCTTACCTCAGAGCACAAGGACATTGCACATTTTTAAAAAGCAGCCCTAAATCAGGAGAGAAGGGTTTCTGTCAACACTTCTCTGGCCTGCAGCTGTGGTTATGATCACCCACCTCCCTATCCCTCTCCCCCCCACTGCTAAATCAGTGTCACACTGAAACCAGCCCTACTGCAGCCAGACCTTATGAGGGAACAGAAGCAAAGGCAAACCCACTTGCCCTGGGAAGGCCCTTTCCCTATTGCTCTTTGTCCGGGTAGTCCGATTCAGCTTGCCACGGTTTCACCTGCAAAAGAGAATGGCAGGAATTGAAGGAGAAGGAGACAGAGCAATCTGCCATCAACTAGAATTTATCTCCCCATTCAGAAGTCCTGTAGCATTGCCTTGTCAGAACTACAGCTCAAACTTCAAAGCACATGCACAGCCATGTCCTGGTTCTATGGGAGTCCAAGAAAAATCATACAGAAAGTAAGGTACGATGGCACAGATCTCAACTTGCGTTTTAAAAATGAGCAAGTTTGAGCCTCATAGTTGCAAAGGTATAATTGAGTGCATGGGTCCAGTGTTGGAAAGACCACAGAAGCCAGATGACTGAAAGACAAGATAGATAGCTTCAGTGCCCCCTTCAAGACTTTGAGAGGCAGAATATGTGGCTGCAGACTTTGATAGAAAAAGCTTTAACACACTAATAGGGCACTTTCATTCCTTTTTGCTTAAGTGAGGCACTCTTCACATTCACACAGCAAGGAATGCCTCTAAAATGGCACACAGTATTCAAAAATATAACATCTGAAACAAAGTATGCTTTTTCTTGTCCTACTTGTACAGTGGTACCTCAGGTTAAGTACTTAATTCGTTCCGGAGGTCTGTTCTTAACCTGAAACTGTTCTTAACCTGAAGCACCACTTTAGCTAATGGGGCCTCCTGCTGCTGCCGCGCTGCTGGAGCACGATTTCTGTTCTCATCCTGAAGCAAAGTTCTTAACCCGAGGTAATATTTCTGGGTTAGTGGAGTCTGTAACCTGAAGCGTATGTAACCCGAGGTACCACTGTATGTGCATTTATGTAGAAACAAGCAATTGATTTTAACTAATTTGATCAACTAGGACTGCAATGATACGGCCCCTAGGATATGTTGGGTCTTCTTCAATGATGTTGAATCTCTCCTCTCAGTCCCTGTTGTTGTTGTTTAGTCGTATAGTCGTGTCCGACTCTTCGTGACCCCATGGACCAGAGCACGCCAGGCACTCCTGTCTTCCACTGCCTCCCGCAGTTTGGTCAGTCCCTGTAGAAACCCTTAACTCTTCCAACTGGTCTCAGAACTGATGCAGACAGGACCAAGGAGAAGGACAACTAGGAAAGAGCTTGGATCCAAAGCTAACTCAATAGCCCAACACACTCCCAACCCTGGCAGAGATTTAGAGCAGCTCAGGAGCCGGCCTCCATCTCTCCCTCTGATTTCCCTCCCATAATTATCAATGGGAGGGAAATGGCAACAATTTTCTGCCCTGTTGATGAGAGGCCTTAGGGATGAGGCAGTTGAAGTACCTCTGGTTTTTGCTTCCACCTTAGGAATGCAACCTATGATTTCTTTGGGGTTGGGGTGACAGCCCTAAAAATGTATGTGCATTTGATTATTTGAACTCGCAGAGAACCATGAGCCTGAAGAGAGAACTGGAGCCTGCCACAGTTCTTACCTTGGTGTTGTTGTAATGGGAAGGGCTAGCAGGACTCCTGACACCTTCTCTTCTCAAGCTGTGGGAGCAAGGGGGGAGAGAGAAAGAGGTAAGGCAACATTTGCCATTGGAATCTAAAACTTCCTTCACTTCAACATTATTAAGCCACTTTCTTAAAAGGTTTCTAACATGTCTTTCAGGACTCAACCCTCCCAGGGTAGTTCAAGATTTGTTTTAGGATTTTGTAACAAAACAAAACTACCAATCTACCAAACAGTCCTTGAATTAATGGTCAAGAGCAGCACATCAATGAAGTGCAGACTGTAACAAGAAAGTCTTTAATAAGAACCAGCATCCTCTTCAAGAGATCACAGAGGAGCTGCTACTGCCTCCAGTCAAAAACCACCTGAGCAAAAGCCCCCCACAAAGTATTTTCAGAGGAAGCCCAGGATGCTGCACAGAAGTTAGAGCACAGCTCCCCTCAAGACCAGTTAGTGGGGAACAGGCAGGACTCAAACACCACCACGTCCACATGGTCCTGCCAATGGGAGGAGATTCATACCAGGAAGTTCTGTACTACAGAGAATTTGGTTCTGCCATTAACTTACAGGCAAGAAACAGATTTGTAGCTTGATAACAAGATAAACAGCCCCTTCCTCAAGCAACCAGCATCTACCTGGGCCGAGCTGGAACTGTGACAGGGAAGCTGGGCACATAGCCACTAGGAGAGACAGTGAAGGGACAGCGCCTGGTGGGGAGGGCGGCAGCTGCATGGTCACTCAGCCCTCTTCCACGACCACCACCAATACCCAGCTCCTTGGGTTTGCCTCGTTCTGAAGGCCCAAGATTGTCGTCTCTTGTGTTGTTGGGAGGGGCCTGCTGAATGTGTCTGGCAGCCACCAGGTTGTTGCGGGAGGGATTCCCTCTGATGGGGTGGGGAGGCTTCTGCTGCCTGAACTCCTCAAGGTACTGAGGTGAGATTTCCCCTGAAGCAGGAAAAAAGAAAGTGAGGAACTGCGCCGGAGAGAAATGGCCACAGATATGAAGCAGGCTGGATCTGGCCCCAAGAGATGACCTGAACTAGCTGCACAGGCTGGTTGATGTTAAAACTGCCCCAGGCACTACAGCCAACAAACAGTTCACCTTCGAAGAGGATGAACAGCAACACTGTCCAGCCACTGAGAATTTTATTTAGAAAGAATTATAAAGCACTTAATTGAAGAGTCATCTAGGTGGCGCGTAATTAAAAACAAAAATAAACCGTAGATAAAAACAGAGCTAAAATCCACAAAGCTTTTGAAAAACTTACACAAAACAATAAATTAAAACAGATTTTTAAAAAATCAGTAAAACTTTTAAAACAAAATCATATGTTTGGGTAGACTTCCTGAAATAAATGCTTTTAGCAGGCATCCAAAATAATATGGTGAGGGCACCTGCCTAATATCAATTAGGCAGGATGTTCCAAAGCGCAGGTGCTGCCACGCTATACAAGATCAACTCCTTGAAAATTTAATCCTCTGGGCTTTAATCCAAAGGGTTGCATGTCCATTGGCTGCAAGTATAGAGATACACCAAGCACCACAATAAGCAGGAATGGAAACCATCCTGCATATTACTCTACCGCAGTGCAATGAAACGGCAAGTCTCTGCAAATGAGGTGCACAGATGGCCTTTGGCAAACATGAGTCGGATTATCTCCCATTTCCAGAACTGCTGTGGGCAGCAAAACAGGCTCTCCTCCTCTGCTCTCCTGAGCTCTTAACCTGAGAACCTGCTTGGCTTGCCAATGACAATACCTTGATGCCGGATGCGTCTTCTAGGCAGATCTGGCGAGCTTGTTCTCTCCAAGTTATCCACAGCCGGAGTCCCTTGCTGTGATGGGGCTCTTCCTATTGAGGGGGCAGTGGCTGGGCGCAGGTCACACTGGTCCTGGATCAATAAACAAAGCCGGTTATTTGGGGGCCCTTCCCAAAGGAGGAGTGAGTTGGCTTGCCTGCAGCGCACCGGCCACAAGGGACAAACTCAAGGCAAGCTCTCAGCACCTGGTGATGGAAGAGGATCTCTTCTTCCAGCTGGACGCCACAGAATTCACAAGGGAGCATGAGGCTGCTGGAGGAGTCGGGCTGCAGAGGAACGGTTTCCCTGCTGCCAGCAGACTGACTGCTCTGCAGCTGTTCCCAGAGATCCTGAAGACGGTCAGCCTGAGGGACAAAAGAGCTTCTCTTGCTGAAGGATGCCAAAGCGCTGACAGGACTGCAGCCAGTCTGTTATATAGAAAATGGAAGGGGGGGAAACTTACATTAGTTTCCTTCTTCTAGAGATCCCCATAACACAAGGCAAGCAAGCATATCAGACACAGCCAGCAAAGCTATAACAGGACAGGTGACTCCCAGGAACAGACACTGGTTTTCAGTTACTATCAGAAATACCTGCTTTTAAAGATGAGATTATACACGCCCCTTTTGCTTCCAATCATAACAAGAATTTGCTGTTTCAATTTTGTATCATCATCTACTAATCTAGATGATTTGGGGAGAAAGCCTCACAGAATGCTTTTTTGAAAGTCTCAGATTTGTTTCATGACAGTGTCTCTGAAGGTGATAATTCAGACACTTCAGTTGACAACTAAAAACACAGTCATTTTAAGTATAATACAATACTTTATATTTTGAAAAGAGGTTTGTCTGTTCTCTATGTGTTAGGACGCTTCTTGCAATATTGTCACCTACATTTTCAACCCTATATGATTGAGAGGAGAAGGAGAGACTGCATCTCTTCCCTAAACCACACTGTAGGAGGGTTTAATCCTGCTGGGTGCTACTTTGCCAGTATGTTCCCTGCAGCCAGAAAACTGTACCCTTTGTGGACAACTGCTGGTATCCAAACATAGACCAAAATCTGGTCCTCAAGCTCAGGAACCATCGTGCCAAAATGGGCAACAGTATCTTCAGAGTTGTCCAAATCAGGGCAGCTTTGAATGGTTCAGTCCACCAACTGGATTTAAAATGGTGTCCAACAGTATCCAAACACAAGACAAAAACTGGCTCCTCCATCTCGTGAACCGTTGCACCAATGCTATCACAAGAGGCATCTGAACAAAGGGGGAACAGATAGACGAACCTCTTTCCAAACCAGATAGTAGATGACAGCTATAGCTTTGGCCCAGTTGTCATGAACTACCCAACTTTGCCTTCAGTGCACTGGGGAAGCCACAAGAAAGGACCACCTGCCCCATCTGCATATCTGCCAATTTCGCCCTTCTAACAGCATGAAAAAAAATATGTGATATATACAAAACCTGATGAAGGATTAGATCTTCCTCAGGGAACAGCTTCTCACAAAACTCACAAGGCAGCAGTGTTTCAGCTGCAAAGCAAGGAAGGACAAGGTTACATAACTCATCTAGCTGCCTCCTCTTTGGAAATTCTATCAGTCACACTCCTGTGCAAGGCACTGTACAAACACAACTCTCTGTCAAACAACAGAGGAGGCAGGTGACTGTTCCTCCCATTTTATAAAGCCCACTGGCTGATAATGAGTTACCTTGAGTCAGCTAACAAATCTGTAGCCAAGAATAGACCTCAGCCCAGCTCTACAGAGCTAAAGTCCAAACATTTAGCCACATTAGTAAATTAACTCTCTGATGCAAAAAGTTTACTTCAGGGCACTTCAGTAAAAAAGAAGGAAGGATCAGAATACTCAGAGCATTCTTCAGGTTGGGGGATTTCACAAGAGCCTTTGACAAACTCAAGCTCCCTCTCCTCAAGGTCAAGAAGTTCCATCTCATTCCAGAAAAAAAGTGATTCTCAGTACTTCTCCACTCATTCCACCCTCCACCCCCCATTACTTAAGGCCCTATTTTCATTATCTGTGCAGAAATCAAGAGATTTCTCACACAGTAATTTCCACAATGCTTAAGATTGGGCAAGTTGGTAAAAAAAATCTCAACTTGAAGTCCTACCAGCACCTCTACAAAATCAATTTTTTAATAAATAAATATGCATGCCGTTTTTCAAGGCAAGTCTGAGAGCAGTTTACAACCACATCAGCACACAACAAATACTTTTTTGGGGGGGGGGGGATGTTATATAAAAATATATATTACAAGCAGCACTAAAAGACAAAATGATGTCAACAAAACACAGGCAATCTCGCCTCTCCCTTTCTGGAACAGAGATCTCCTGCTGCCCTCGGGTCCCCTTCCAACCCTGGCAGCACTTTTGCACCCCTCACAGAAGCCAAAGCCTTTACAACATTCTCCTAATGGTTTCGGCCTGCAACCATTTCATGACATCACAGCACCTCAACCAATGACTCTGAGCAACAGCAAATGTTTACTTACCTTTGGGCCTGTTTAAAGCATTATTAGCAGGTGCCAGCAAACCCTGAGAGAAGATATCGGGGTCATCTGCATCAACAAAGTCCTCAGCTGCTTTAGCTCTGGCGGGGCAGATATTTTTCCAGAGATCCCTCCGGATCTGTGTGCCACTGTGCTCATGAGAGCTGTTTTCCTGCTGCAAGCTAAGAGCCAGCAGGTAATCCAGGTTGCAATCTGGCTCTCCACCGAAAGGCAAGGGGGCTGTCATCTTTTCCAGGTGGACTTCATGGGACAAAATATAACCAAATGTTAGAAACAAAGGCAGACCATCATCATGATCGTTGTCTGACCTTCCATTTGTAAAAAGAAGATCAGCACAACATACCCAAAGATGGGCTTACATTTTTCAGAACATGCAAAAAGGTTGCTGGAAACTGTATTTCAAGAAAGCAAGGCAGAGGAGAGCCAATACCCCCCTGAAGACAGGTGATTTGAGCATCTGCAATACACCAATTGTGCTGCCAGCGGGGGGGGGGGCACCTTAGGCCTGGGGGACATATGCAGCCCTCCAAGCCTCTCTAGCTCATCCTCCGGATTCTCCCTACACACCACATCCCCTCTGCACTCTCTGGAGTCGTCCCTGGCTGGAATGTGTACTTGAACTATGATGAAGCTACCCAACAGTCTCTCTGCCCCAGAGGGCTGAAGTCATTACACCTCGGAACTGCCAGCATGGCCAACTTTTCTCCCTCCTAGCTGCCAGGAAATAGCAGCAGGATCTTCCAGCAGTAATAAAATGACTGATGGTTGAATTTAAACAGTCCCAAGTTCCATCCACCAACTGCCTATATAAACATACCCAGAGAGGATAAAATTTAGGACACAGCATGAAAATTTGAGAAGGGTTTTTGCCACTGGGAAGGGGGGCACAAAAAGGTTAGATTCAATTAACCGAGAATGCACTCTTGAACATTAATGTGTGAGGGAGGGAGGGGGCACATTGTAAAATGCCAAGTATTCTTTTTAAAAGTGATCATTTGCTGCCATTACCTTGATTCTGATCCGGCTGCGATAGAGCAACGTTCCTTCTGTTGCGCTCACTTGGCAGCTGGTCACCCGAGAGACAGTTATAAAGCCTACTTTCAGGAAACCGGCTCAACCTTGGCAGGGATCGCGCAGAGTTGTCTTGATGGAGGACATTCCTGACTGTTTGAACGCTATGCAAAACTGGTTCGGAGTTTAAGCAGGGCCGGGCTTGGCTGACTCTTGCTTCCTCAGCCTCCCTCTTGCAGTCCTCAGGGTGCTCCTTCAGATCTCGGAGCAGAATGTTGCGGCTGCACCTGCTACATCGCTCAGTTCGAGCGCCACAGTAGTCCTCATGGTCCTGGAGTTTGTTGAATGCAAGCTCAATATCACAGTGCTGGCAGGCCACGGGGCGCAAGGGACACTCTGCAGCCTATGGTAAGACAGCAAGGAAATTGTGCATAAGGTCATCGTCTGAGCAACCTCTTTGCATTTGTCTGGCCGTCAGCCTCAGCCAGCACAGGCCGAAGGAACAAGCATGGAGTTTTAACATCCTGAAGCCAGCTCACCTGCACAATTAGGATGGTGTAAAGGAGCTGCATTTGCTGTTGTGAATACCAGCATCAGTTTATCAAGGGCACTGAATCAGACTTGCAAGGGGCCAGTGACCATTAGGGTGAACGCATGGCAAAATAAATCCCAAGAGCGAGCTGCAATCTCACTCCTTGGCTGTAGTGCGCCACACCAGTGTAGTCACACAATCCACAACACATGGCTGCTTTGCAACCTCCATTTTAGAAATGGATTTTTAATATAGAGTTAGGTGGGGCCAGTGCTTTTTTCTGGGGGGACGGCAGGGGTACACATACCCCTAAACATTTTGTGAATCTTTGTACTTTTGTCCATTTACTGTATTTATTTTTCCCAATTGGAGCTATAAAATGGTGATTTTCTTCAGTCAGAATGAGAGTACCCCTAAACATTTCTTTTTAGAAAAAAAAGCTCTAGGTGGGGCCATAGTGCAGGTTGGTAAAAATGCCAACCCAGAGAAGCAGCCCTTAATAGGCACATAAGAAGCTCCCTTACACCAGCAGCTAGCCCTGAAGCCCATCTATGGGCCCCTCTCCTCTGTAGGGAAGAGCCTGGATCCTGCACTATGCCACCAACTCTCTTCCTGTTTACAAAAAGCTCCCCTGCTTGTGATTGTTGCTCTCCACAAAGAACCATGTGCAAGTGCCTTAAAAAAATCGTAATAGCCTGAAGGCTCGCATACATAATCCACTCCTTGCAGTTTTTGTTAGTCCCACCCTGCATCATCAGGTAAAGACGAGTCAATGATATGCTTACTGACCACATGCTCCTGCAAAAGACCACTGTCCATCTTCATGCTGCACTTACAGACAACCTGAGATTGAAAAACAAACAGACACACAAACCAGCGTGTGATTAAACCTGCCTACCATAGAGAAGCCGTTGCATAAAGGGGGAAAGGGGCTGCTTGTCACCTGCGTGTGTTCCAGCTCCAGGTGACTCCTCATTTCTGATTTTGGGAAAGACTCCTTGCAGATATGGCATACCCCTATGTTTCGACTGCAATGGATCTCATGGATGGTGAAGTTTGCCGCAGGAATGTCTTTTTTGCTGGAAACAAAACAGGCAAGGTGCAAAAGATAACAGGGAATTGCGGTTTAGAACACTGATTTGGAGTAGAGCTGCTGGGTGAGGAAGGTGCAAAAGAAATGATTTTTTAAAAGAAAGCTAACCCAAGCAAACCCTACAAGGTCAACCAGTATTACTTCGTATTGCCATCTGCGTGGCACTGAAGCTGCAGCCACAGTCCACAGAGAGAGCATATGGCAGTAAGGGATTTTGCAGTCCTCAGCTCAGTCTTTTGGGCACTATTCAATTCATTCCCCCTTCCATGGACCAGCAGGGATGTTCTCTCAGGAGACAAAGCTCACATCTCCAGAGAGTGAAGGAGAGAAAAGCCACAATTACACACCAGCTCCTGAGTCAGCTGCACTAATCCCATCCTCCACCATAACCTGTCTCTCCGCCGCCCCCATCCACACTCACACAACCATAAGCCAGGATTTCTGGCTTCTTGTGGTTTACCATGAAGGAGCAGCATGTGTATGCATACTGTACAATCACTCCAGTTAGTGCAAGTATGAAAATAAGAAAGCCATGATTTGTTGTTATTTCCAAACCAGAGATCAGTTTGTTTCTCCCTAGCCAGCTACAATCCATAAACCAATATGAATATTTGCTTAAGATGGGCTAGCAATTGTGGCTTGTTGAGGAGAAACAAACAACAACCCCAGATTGGGACACAATAATTCTTAAATTATTTTTCCTGCTGAAAATTTTCCATTTCACATGTTCATTAGCAGCAGTGAATGGATGCCAATTGCAAATAAATATTAAGCAAGGATGACAACTTCCAAGTTCTTAGCTTTGTTTACTAAAACAAGTAAAGTAAACATGATAAATTAGAGCAATGGTTCTGAAACAGAGCTAATCAGGCAACCCAATTGCATACACACAGAGTTGGCAGTTACTGAAACAAACAAGTTTCCTTTCTTACCAATTGTTGCAGAGTTGGGTTTCACTTTCCTGTTCCACCACGGCAGCCATCGCCCTGCTGTTCAAGGAACTAAGGAGGGGAGAAAAAAGGGCACGATCTTTTTGTTTCCCAAGCATGCTTACTCATTCCCTTCCTACTCAGAATCGCTTTCACAGAGGGCTCCCCTAGTGCTTATCAGCAGGATCCCCTCTTGTCCCAAGAGTTTAAGCAGCAGTCAAACAGCCCTTTTGACAGCATAATTGCCCTGAAACCAATTTCATCTCATTGAAGCCCACGAGCTTAAAGGAAACACACACAAGCTGTGAGTCTCATCACTGCTTGCCAATTTATGCTTTCACACAGACTTGGAAGGGAAGCGGCAACATTTCTTTTTTTAGAAATAGCACAAACATTGACAAAGCCATCGTTCTTTTCCATAGACTCAACATAGTCCTGCATGGACCATTGTCACTGAACCTTCTAGAACTCTATGAGGTGCATGAGGAATTCTCTCACTCTCCCCTCAGCTAGGTCTCCTCCTCCATGCCTAGCCTTGTGTTTATGCTGAAGGATGCGGAGACTGTGTCATATGGCACTCTGTCCTCTTTTGTGAAATGTGAAGCACAAGATACTTCCAAAAGTAGCATGCATTTTAAAACACACCAGTTTGAAAGGAAACCCTCAGGCAGCTTACCTGAGACGAGCTGACTAAAAAGAGCAGTACAGAACTCGAGTGAAGGCAACTGATCAGATCCTCAGTGACTAAAAGAAAAGGGTAGGGAAAAGTAAAATGTACTTTTGTGACACTTTCCTGTACATTTTAAAATAAATTCTTGGGAATGCAAATATTTTAAGTTAGGAGACTACAACAGACCCACCCTCAACCAGGAACCATAATCCCCATACCTACTTTCAGAGATGGGTATCTCAAACCATTGTGAAAAGAGAGGGGATGTGTGCTCAAGGGCTAAATATGCTCAGGATCTTTGGTAGGTGTGCAATATGTACGGGTGGAATCATTATTCACCCCATGCAGCTCTTCTGCCACAGAGGATGACCAAATGTGAACCCTCTCTCACAGACCCAACTTCCTCCCCAAATACATCATCGCCTGTTTGGCCACTAGCTGTCACAGGGCAGAAATCTGGCACCATCACCACCCTGTACTTACAAGAGTTGGAGGTGAGAAACCTGGACATCATGTTTGTTTCTTTGGTGGCAAGTAGTAGTAGTAGTAGTAGTAGTAGTAATAATAATAATAATAATAATAATAATAGCCTACTGCCTTGTTGTACAATACACTGAGTGCTATATAAAGGCTTAATATTTTTCATTACAGCAACACTTTACAGCAGTTAAGAGTGCTTGGCACATACTAAATAGCTACAGGAGAAAGAATCTTTTCTTATCTTTTAACAACATATGGGATGCTGCCTTCCACAGTTTAATGCCGCAATCCTACACATGCTTACTAGAGAGCAACTCCCTCTGAATACAATGGGACTTCCTTCTTAGTAAACATGCTTAGGATTGTTCAGTGACAGGTCCCTAACAGAAAAAAAGCTTTAAAATAAAATTAACAAAGAATACGCACCCAATTTGTGTGTGGTGAGGCGAGAAATATGAGAAACAGAAAACAATTTTTAGAAAAATCACACACAGAGTGTAGTTATCAAAACTCCCCTGCCTTAGAAAAGGGCTTCTCCCCATCACCCCTTCTAGATTAGTCTGGGGCTGGGGGAGGCAACCTTAAACTCACCCAAGTTGAAAGCAGGGCGGGTGGACATTCCCACTCCCAACATGTGCATCCCAACTCTTTTCTTTCTCCAAAAAGGAGTCCCCATACACAATCCCAGCCTCAGCCAAGAAGAGCCTTGTATCAGTCACTTCCTCTCAACCTAGCCTACCCCACGGGATTGTTCGGAGCATAAAGAGAACGTAACCATATCTGCCTCTGAGCGGAATATAACTGAGACAAACTTACAACAGCAACACTACACGGGTGTCAAACCAAGAAGAGGGGGCGAGCCGGGGCCAGATCCCTACCTAGGGACAAGCAGCTCACTCAACAGCCTCTGGCGGGTCAGCAACCCCATAGCCTAGCATTCCCTCCTCATACAGAGATCGTATTTTTTATTTTATTATGTTGTAGTAATGGGTTGAAAACACTCTCCCCGGTTATTAGGGGCTGGAGCAAAGACTCCACCCGCTTTTTAGCCGGAGCTTGTAGCTTTCCTATGCGCAGTTGCTTTGCCAACCAGTTCTCCAATAAACAGCCTCTTGTTCTGGGCCTTCAAGGGAGAGAGAGAGGCTGTCATGAAAAGCAGGAAAAGAAGAGAGACCTTGCGAGGGTCAAAGGGGGCGACCCTAAGAAGGGATGAGGGTGATTACAGATACCTATTGTATTCATAACCCGCCTTTTTCTCCAAGGAAATTAAAAGTGGTGTTGGGGTTTTTTTGGGGGGGGGAGGGGAGGCAGAGGGATGTCCTCAAATAATGAAGGGCGGTATATTAATTTATATTAATATCTATGAAGGACGGTATATTAATGTAATAAATGAATAGAATGAAATCAGCATAGAACAATGCAGAATATTTTAATTATTGCATAAAGTTTATACACCGCCTGATGGAAAGCGCTTTGCGGAAAGAACAAAATAATGGGGTTGCAGTAAAAAAAAAAACACCCCACAATTAAAACATGTTATTAAAATGATATGAATATGTATAATAGCAATAGCATGGCCCGCCCTTAGTCCTTAAGGTGAAAACAGGTGAAAACATTAGAGAACAAAACTGAAAGGGAGTTTGAAGGTCCTAAAACCGAACAAACACCGGCGCCCCTCCCCACATTTCCTCGCAGAGGGGCCCCGTTTCCAGCCCCGGAGGGACGCAGATACCCACCAATGCTTCCCTCACGGGCTTCGTCCGCTCCTTCCACTTCTTCTTGTTCTTCTCCGCCTCAACCCGTTTCCCTCACAAAACGCAGGCAGGATCCCGAAGCCGCCTCAGAGCTTCCTAACCCGCCCTCCGGATCGCGATTGGACGGCGGCGCCTCGCCGGTTGGCCTGCTCCGAGCTCCTATTGGCCGGCGGACCTGCCAAACGGGCCCGCTTCATCCTACCGCTCTTCCGATTGGCCCCGAAGGGTGCTCGTTTAATCGCGTGGAGCGGGGAAGCGGGTGTCCCGCCTCCCCAGCTCTTTTTCTCTTTGCTCCTCCCCCTCCCCACCCTCAGCCGCCGCTCTCGGCTTCGGCCGGGTGACGTCACAGCGCGCGCCGTGCCCCTTTCCTCTCGCCCTGACTCCTGATTGGCCGGCGGCAGGGAGAGTCGCGGGAGGGGAACCCGGAGGGGAATCCCGAGGCGCCGGAGCGCAGCTACCGCCTCTCCCCGCGGAGCGGCGCCCTTTCGCAGGCGGGCTTGGAAATCGCACTCTTCGAGCAGGGCAGAATGCGGAGCAGCCGCGTGTCGGGAAGATGGTTTGCGCCTCTTCCCCTTGATTTTCTACCTGGGGAAGTGAAAGCATCTGCTCCTGTTCCTGGTTCCAGCTGCCTCTGCCCTTGACCGGGATATTCTTCTCGTTCCCACTCCCGTTCTGTTCCCGGCAGGCGCTTGATTGGCCGCTGCAAGAACAGGACGCTGGACTGGACGGGCCGCTGCTCAGACCAAACAAGGCTCTTGCGGGCTTTTCGTTTGGGCTGACTAAAGTGTGTTTTTTTTAGTGTCTTCGCATGCAGGGAAAGTCCCTAACTGACTCACTGAGGGTTTGTGAAACATCAGCTGCGTCACTTGACTTAGTAGGCAAGTTGAAGCCGTTTCCGGGGGTGTGGATGCTGTCATAGAGTCAGAATTAGAGAGCTGGCCTGGAAGGGACCCCGAGGGTCATCTAGTCCAACCCCCTGCAATGCAGGAATCTCAACAGTTTCCCCTCCAATTGGAAGCCATACCGGACCCTGCTTAGCTTTGCAAATGTGCTAGCAGATTTATTGCTGCAACACTAGCATGCTGACAGCTTCTACTGGTGAGAGCTGAGTTCAGAATGCACAAACTACCCCAAAAGGAGCAGGATGTGTACCCCACCAGAGGCAATACCCCTCTCTTAATACAATGCATAATGTTGTTCTTCTTCTGGTTGTTGTTTAGTCATTTAGTCGTGGCTGACTGTTCATGACCCCATGGACCAGAGCACACCAGGCACTCCTGTCTTCCACTGCCTCCCACAGTTTGGTCAAACTCATGTTGCTCAACATGAGAACACTGTCCAACCACCTCATCCCCTTCTCCTTGTGCCCTCCATCTTTCCCAGCATGAGGGTCTTTTCCAGGGAGTCTTCTCTTCTCATGAAGTGGCCAAAGTATTGGAGCCTTAGCTTCAGGATCTGTCCTTCCAGTGAGCACTCAGGCCTGATTTCCTTCAGAATGGATAGGTTTGATCTTCTTGCAGTCCACGGGACTCTCAAAAGTCTCCTCCAGCACCATAATTCAAAAGCATCGATTCTTCTGCAATCAGCCTTCTTATGGTCCAGCTCTCACTTCCATACATCACTACTGGGAAAACCATAGCTTTAACTATACGGACTTTTGTCAGCAAGGTGATATCTCTGCTTTTTAAGATGCTGTCTAGGTTTGTCATTGCTTTTCTTGCAAGAAGCAGGCGTCTTTTAATTTTGTGACTGATGTCACCATCTGCAGTGATCATGGAACCCAAGAAAGTAAAATCTCTCACTGCCTCCATTTCTTCCCCTTCTATTTGCCAGGAGGTGATTCATAGTGGCATGATCTTAGTTTTTTTGATGTTGAGCTTCAGACCATATTTTGCGCTCTCCTCTTCCACCCTCATTAAAAGGTTCTTTAATTCCTCCTCACTTTCTGCCATCAAGGTTGTGTCATCTGCATATCTGATGTTGTTGATATTTCTTCCGGCAATCTTAATTCCGGTTTGGGATTCATCCAGCCCTCCTTTCGCATGATGAATTCTGCATATAAGTTAAATAAGCAGGGAAACAATATACAGCCTTGCCGTACTCCTTTCCCAATTTTGAACCAATCAGTTGTTCCATATCCAGTTCTAACTGTAGCTTCTTGTCCCACATAGAGATTTCTCAGGAGACAGATAAGGTGATCAGGCACTCCAGTTTCTTTAAGAACTTGCCATAGTTTGCTGTGGTTGACACAGTCAAAGGCTTTTGCATAGTCAATGAAGCAGAAGTAGATGTTTTTCTGGAACTTTCTAGCTTTCTCCATAATCCAGCACATGGTCTCTGGTTCCTCTGCCACTTTGAAATCCAGCTTGCACTTCTGGGAGTTCTCGGTCCACATACTGCTTAAGCCTGCCTTGTAGAATTTTAAGCATAACCTTGATAGCATGTGAAATGAGTGCAATTGTGTGGTAGTTGGAGCATTCTTTGGCACTGCCCTTCTTTGGGATTGGGATGTAGACTGATCTTCTCCAATCCTCTGGCCACTGCTGAGTTTTCCAAACTTGCTGGCATATTGAGTGTAGCACCTTAACAGCATTATCTTTTAAAAAAATTTAATAGTTCAGCTAGAATGTCATCACTTCCACTGGCCTTGTTATTAGCAATGCTTTCTAAGGCCTGTTTGACTTCACTCTCCAGGATGTCTGGCTCAAGGTCAGCAACCAACCTTCCTGGGGTGTATGATACACCCATCTCTTACTGGTATAATTCCTTTGTGTATTCTTGTCACCTCTTCTTTTTTTCTTTTTTTTTAATGATATTTATTGAAAAAGTTTTTTTTTTTAAAGTTACAAAAGAAAACAAAGTAGAAAAAGAGAAAAACAAGCCATTTCCAACCATACAAATACACAAAATAAGAGAGAAAAAACAAAAACAAAAATACACCACAAAAATTTAAAAACATTTAAAAACAAATCCATTATTCTCAACTCCTCAACTGTCATTACCCTCTTTCCTTGACCTCCTCCTCCTCCCCTTCCTTGTGTCCTGGTTGTTAATTGTCACAGCAAATCCTTTCCACATTTCATAATATTCTGTCATTACATTACCTTAAACTATTTTAATCTTATCTTACTATAAAAAACCTTGGAACTTAAAACTTAAATCTTATTTTTACCAACTTCTCATAACCATAATATTCTTACATAATTCTTTAAACATTTTTACTAAAGCCAAATAATTTCATTCCAACATTTTTCTAACATTCATCAATTTTATAAAACAGTCCTAGTAATAAAAAAAAGAAATAAAAACAAATCCAATCTTCATCCAGCGTCCCTTCCTCCTGGTCCCGGGTTTGTCAGTCCTTATTATCCCATCGATCTGGCGCATTAACCTGGTCACCTTATATCCGAGGCCCTCAAGTCTCTTCCATGTCCCTTCCGCAGCTCTTCTTCATATTTGTAACTGTATTTTCCCTTGTCTCCTGCTCATTTCACTCGTGGGAACTCCAGCTTAGCAATATTTTTGACCCTTCTCGACAGATCAGCCCCTTTTCCATAATCGACACTAAATTCCATGTGGTATTTAAAAACATGTTTCAAAAACCCTCCAAAATTGAGAGCCCCCACAATCCCAAACATCTCACGGCCCATTGCCAGACTTGAAAAGTCCAAACATCCCTGCATAGGAGGGTCTATCCAACCCCCCATTTCCAAGCCAAACCAAACTTTTTCTTTCCAAATCTGGCTTTTTCCAAGTTCATTTGTCAAATCCAAAAGCTCATACAGTGGTGCCTCGCAAGACGAAATTAATTCGTTCCATGAGTTTTTTCGTCTTGCGATTTTTTTCGTCTTGCGAAGCACGGTGTCGGGAAAGTTTTGGAAAAGCTTCAAAAGTCTTCAAAACCTCAAAAAGGGGGTGCTTGGGAGGGAGGGAGAGGCGGGCGTGGGGCGTGGGGGGAGGCAGGGCAGAGGTTGCTGCCTGAGCCCCCGGGATCAGTTCGGCTCGCCTTGCTCCGACCCTTTGCACTACAGTCGGCGCCGTCTTGCTGCTGCTGCTGCTGCTGCTGCTGTCGCCGCGGTAGTCAAAACTCCTACTGGCCTAAAAGTTGTCTGGTGCAAAATCCCTTCTGCAGCAGCAGCCCGAAAGAAAGCGAGAGCGCCAGCCAGCCAGCCGCCCGCCGCGGGCAGGAGGGAGGGAGGGAGCGTCGGCGACGGTGGATGCCTATTGCCCCTGTTGCTGCTGCAGCCGGCCAGCCAGCCAGAAGCGCGCGAGCGGAGAGGGGTGCATCCAGCCCGTTGGAGAGGAGCGTGGGGGCGCGTCCCCGGTGGCTCCCGAGCTGACCTTGCCTGGCCCGGCGCCTTCCACGCTGCCAAAGGGCAACTCACCTGCTGCCTGCGCTGCGCCGGGACTAACTCGAGCGGGGCGAGGAGAACACACACTCGCGCGCACACACACTGAGAGGCAAACTTGCCGCAGCCGTAGACGTCGCGGGGTTGGAAAGCGCCCGGGCAGGCGCTCTTGTCACCGCCGGGGCGCTGGGGGGGGGAGAAGGAAGGAGCCCCGTCCGAAGAGCCCCGGAGCCTGGCCTCCCTAACTGGGAGTTGTGGGGAGGGAAGTGTGCGCGCCTTGCTATTTTTCGCCGAAACAAAGCTCCCTCTCCCTCAGAACCCGCCTTCACGCGTTCTTGCCCCTACGGAGACGCACACCGCGTGCTATGAGTTGCTCCTCGAAGTCAAGTCGCAACTGTATTAACGGTTTTAAGAAAAAGGAAACAAACTTGCAAGAGGTTTCCGTCTTGCGAAGCAAGCCCATAGGGAAAATCGTCTTGCGAAGCAACTAAAAAATGGAAAACCCTTTCGTCTTGCGAGTTTTCCGTCTTGCGAGGCATTCGTCTTGCGAGGCACCACTGTATTCCTGTTGGGCCTGTTCTGTCAGGGCACACTCCCGATTTAATTCCTGGGTGGGCTCCACATATTTTCCCACTGCTTGTTCAAAATTTCCCACTGCCTGTTCAAAATTTCTAATCGAATCAGCCATCAAATTCGTCTTCTCATGTAGCTGTTCCAGTAGGGCATTTGTTTTATAGAAAGCACACAACAGAGCTTCTGAATACATTGTCCTGCAAGGTCAAATGTCTATTCCCACGATTGTAATCTGTAACAGCTGCCAGCTCCCAGGAGTTGGTTACAGTTTCACAGTCTCCCTCTAGGGGGAAAACTTCTGTTTGATCTTTCTTTTAAAGACAAGTCTAGCAACAGAGTTTCCTTTTTTCAGATATTTTGTCAATATTTGTTCCTTTAAGGTGCGAAAGGAAACAATGGAATCACTATGTTCCTCTTCTTTTAGCTATCTGTCAAAAGCGTTTATCTCAACGTCAGTCCTGAAACCCCGCTCCAGGATCAGGACGGTGGAAAGTTACTTTACTTTAAACTCACTTCTGCAGGTTTAAACAGTCCAAAAAAGATCCCCCTTCTTCTCCTGCTGCCGAAGGGGGGTTCAACAATTTTAAATGATGAAAGCCAATCCTTTAGAGGCGATTTTCTGAGCTCTAGTTTACGTTGTCTTTGCTTTATTCTGTCTACAAAGAAACGGAAGGCTGACTTCCTGTTTAGACCTTCCCGTTTCAGTACCAAATTGAAGTAAAATTTTTAAGTCCAATTCCTTTCTGCTCGCAAGTCCTTTCTGCTCGCAAGTCCCCATCTTCTTGATGTCTTCTGCTTCTGTTCGGTCCTTACCACTTTTGTCCTTTGGTAATCTTTGTACGAAATGTTCCTTTCATATCTCCAATTTTCTTGAACAGATGTCTGGTTTTTCCCATTCTATTGTTTTCCTCTATTTCAAAGCAATACCCTCCCATAGTTTAAAAGGCCATAGATTGTTTAATTAGCCCAAGGCCTGGGGCAAAAGGAATGTTTTTTGCCTGGCACCCAAAGATATGTAACAAAGGCGTCAGGTGAACATCCCTTCTACAAATTGTAATGGACTGTGCTAGGTACTATATACATTTTAATAGCATTTTTATTGCTGATATTGTACTTTATTATTTTACAACTTGAATTCCATAGAAAGCAAAGCTTAAAGAATGAGTTCTAGAATACCAGTTCTAGTAACTGTACCAGAAATGGAAACTATGAAGCTAACAGTAACAAGTACAATTATTTTCTGTTTTTGAACCACAGAGTCCAGGGGAAAGCGCGAACGCAGTCCCCCACTACCACAAATTATGCAGTCGAGTTTCCCACATTTGGGGAAATCGCAGGGGTCAGCACATCCGGAGTGCAATGGATAAGCCTCGCCCTGGGAAAACCACCTTTGTGATCATGGTATCTCCCCTGCCAGGTAAGTATGAATTGAAATGGCAAGCACGCTTCCTGGCCCTCATTCTCTCTGCTGTTAAGGACACAGCGACCTCCATTCTGCAGTCCCAGTAAGCTCAATCCTGTAAAGCAGCTGTGCTACCAGGGCCCCATTGGACAGTCTAGTGTTTTGGGGTGCCCTGTAACCCCCAGTCTGCACCCTGGCTGTTTCTCCCACAATGCTGTAGGGCATGCATATTTGCATACGTAATTGCGTCTCTCCGTCGCCTCCTCCACAGGCCGGGCGTTCCTGCCGCTGAGTGTCCATGAGGTGGAGCTAAGGCATCTCTTTCTGCTCACATCCTAGAGAAAGCGCTCTGTCCCTATATCCACCCACGTTGCTATCACTGTGAAACAGGATTGGCTTTGCTTTCTACAGTGTGAGTGAGGAACCTGTGTCTATTCTGAAGCTGCTGGGCTTATGTTTCCATCATCCCTGGTGGCTGGGGCTGATGGTAGTTGAAGTTCAACAGCGCTGGAAGGGACGCGGGTTGCTCATCCCTAGGATACAATCATTTGGTGCATGCAATTTTTGGGACATTGCTGGATTTGTTGCACCTTAGGGCTTTATGATGGGGAGGGGACGTCTGACTTTAATTTCCCTTCTGACAGCTCAATTTCCGACTTTAACTTTTGCCACTGAATTCTTTATGGCAGAGCAGAGAAGTAACAAAGAGCTGCCGCCAAGAGCTTCTCATTCCCTCTTCAATCACCCACCCTCATTACAAAAACCACCGGTGGGAGACCCAACACCAGACAGGCCACTCACCTTCCATGCCTTTTTGGTGGATGTGCAGATGTTCTGAAGGGCCTTAGAGGAATAGCATACAGGATAAGGTCAAAGCAACTGGCACTTGAACTCATCCATCCTGCTATTTAATGATGTTTCCCAAATCACTGCCTTCCCAATCTGGGTTTTCTCATACCCTCTCCTTTTTGGAAGATCCCTGGTATGAGAAAATGCTAGCATAATTCAAAGTGCTGTTTCAACCTATTAAGTGCAAAACAGTTTGGGACCAAGCTACCCATTTCTGCCATATAATCCTTTATTTAGTGTTCTTTTTTATGTTGTAAACTACTACATGATCTTCATGTGAAGGGGTTTTTTTTACTAAATAAATAAATGCTGGTTTGGTTGTCCTCATTGCATCTTCACAGGAATGAGCTGCAGCAAGTGCAAGGCTCTTGCGTTCCCCTCTTCTGCCACTATAGCTTCAAGAAGGTGATCAGAATCTTTCACTTCTATTTTTGGTTATCAATGAAATGACATACACAATGTGAAGAAAATGGAAAGACGGCATGGGGGAAGAGGCTTCCTACCCTCTTTCATAATACAAGAACCAGAGGTGGAAGAACTAAATGGTGGAAGGACTAGCACAGACAAAATGAAGCATTCATTTGCTCAGCACATAGTTGCACTACAGAATTAGTGACCAATTCAAGCCGGATGGCTTTAACTTGGAATTTGACAAATTCACAGAAAACTGTCAATGGCTACTAGTCCATATGGCCAAGGTCCGTATCAGAGGCAATATGTGTCCACATTGTGAAATTAACTCACCCCAGCAATATAGCAACTACTAACAGGGGCATGTTTCCATTGCCTGCTAAAAATGTTTCTCTTTGCTCAGGTGCTCCCAGACCATTGACGCCCATTTCCAGCGGACATTCATGCTGTAATGTTGGTGCTTTATTGTTTTCCTGTAAACCACCTTGGTTTTAGAAATGCTTTTAATTTAATAAATAACCATTCGGGATTTCCCTTTGACTCAAGCTGAAGAAAAAAGCAATAAGCTACAGCAGGAAATTTCAGCTGTAATTTAATACCCAACTGCTGCTGATTAAGCGCCACATGGTAGTAGGACTGCATCCAGCAGTAAACCACAGGTGCTAACAATGCACCCTCAGTTTTCATTCTGTGCAAGATGCAAACTGAGACCCAAGATCCAGTGGTGTAAGAGGAGGGGTTAAACAGCCCCTTAGAAATCCCAGCTTAGACACAAAGCACCCCGTGCCAGCCCCCCACAATACTTAAGGGTGTGCATGCAATACCATTTACTGAGGCTCTACTGCGTTCCCACCATAGATTCATAGTATTGGAAGGGACCCCAAGGGTCTATTCCAACCCCCTGCAATGCAGGAATCTCAACTAAAGCATCCGAGACAGATGGCCACCCAACCTCTGCTTAAAAACCTCCAAGGAAGGACAGCCCAGCATCTCTCGTGGAAGTCTGTTCCAGTCAAACAGCTCTTATGGTCAGAAAGTTATTATAGTACTTATGTTGCTTGCTCCATCTTCCATGTGATAACCTGTAAAATATTTGGAGATAGCTATCATACCTCCTCTCAGTCTCCTCTTTTCCAGATTAAGCATACCCAATGCCCTCAAACATTCCTCATTTGGTCTGCAGACCCTTGATCATCTTGGTTGCTCTCCTCTGCACATGTTCCAGCTTGTAAATATCCTTCTTAAATCGTGGTGCCCAGAACTGGACAGAGGACTCCAGGCAGGGTCTGACCAAGGTGGTATAGAGCAGGACTATTATTTCCCTTGATCAGGACACTATACTTCTGTTGTCTTTGAGAAACACCACTGGTGTCTGAAGCCATAATCTGGTGTTTGATGCTAGCCACAACCCACGTGTTTCATGTAGTTTCTTGAGAAATACTGCTGATTGATGAGTTTACTCTCCAACCAGCTTCCATTCAATTCCAACTCATATGCTGGGGTTAAGCTGAAGTGTGTACATTTGAGACAGCTGTAACACACGCACAGATAATTGTGCATGCGCAGACAGCAGCTTCACTGAATAGAGTTTGGGGAGATGCTGCAAGTGCAGCAAACCAATTAGGTAATGGGGTGCACAGGAACATGAAACACATATTGAAACATATTGGGAGGTTGACAACCACCTCCTCATTTTTTAAGCTACTAAAGTGAGCACTCTTACCTCACAGTGCCATTGTAAGGGTCTACATATGCTACCCTGAGATCACTGATGGGAAGAAAATCTGATTGAAAGGCCAAGAAAGGAAAACATGGCCTGAAACAGTCATCACCACCATAGGAGCCAACTCCCAGGGGCAAAGGAACCTCCATAAAATATTTGAAGGGACTGCCCCCCACAAGTTGATGGGCATTGCCATTCAAATGGTGTTAACTGCATCTTGTGATTGATTACCTGCCCCCTCCCCCAATATTTTATTCAAGTTGGCCCCCTTGATCAGCACTATCTTAACAATCCTCACAACCACCCTGAAGAATCCCAGTATAGTAGGGTATGATTATCCTCCTGTAATAGCTGTGAATGAGAGACAACTCCTCCAGGTGTTTGTTTAGCCACAAAGCCCCATGGGTGACCCTGACAATTCACATGGCTGTTGCAAGGATAAAAGAGTGGGGGGATACACACATCCCCTTGGGTTTCCCAGCTGAAGGAGGTTGGTGAGTAGAATCTGATAGATAAACCAACCAGCATTCGAAACTCCCATTGTTCTAGGCAATCGTTTTGTGATAAGGAATTTCATTAGTTTCTGAGCTCTGGGCGCAGTGCTGGGCCTATGATTTCAGATTAAAACTGCAGAGTGGAAGGAAAGGAGGACCTTTATTCTGCCTCCCTACTTCCAGCTACTCTCTGAAGATTGGAGAAAGGACCCTCTTAAGAATACAGTGGTACCTCTGGTTACATACTTAATTTGTTCTGGAGGTCCGTTCTTAACCTAAAACTGTTCTTAACCCGAAGCACCACTTTAGCTAATGGGGCCTCCTGCTGCTGCTAAGCCACTGCTGCACGATTTCTGTTCTCATCCTGAAGCAAAGTTCCTAACCCGACGTAATATTTCTGGGTTAGCGGAGTCTGTAACCTGAAGCGTATGCAAACTGAAGTGTATGTAACGCGAGGTACCCCTGTATTGCAGGGGGCGGGCAGTGGAAGCACAGCTTTGTTTTTTTGCAGTCTTCAGAGGAGGACTAGACCATGTGAAAAGTGAACATAAGGTTTCAGCTGCATTTCATTCATTTTCACCTTTGTATTCTTGTTACAAAAAAGAAAGTGCACCTAGACACTCCATTGCAGCGCCCATAACCTAGGTTTAAGGTGCCATTTAGCTCCTAGCTTTCCTATCTCAAGTTTCTAACACGGAAACCAACACACAATGCTTGCCGTCTGGGTCAACAGCACCAAATAACTTTCTGCCATTGCTGCAACAACCTCGCCTGGCGAGCTGTTCCTTCGTCAAGGGGTGGCAGGGAAGGCTAAGAGGGGGCTGCTACTGCCTCCTCTTTGCCTGCCTCACGCCTGGGTTCAAATCCACTCTCAGCTCCCTGAGAGGCCTACCTCCAGTGCCGGATTTATGTATAAGCTAAACAAGCCCAAAAAAATTAAAGGGGGGAAAATGGATGTACATTTCCAAAATGTAAGATAAATAACAAAATAAAACCTACATACAGCAACAGTGTTTTGTGTTGTGTAGGCTCCTTTGATGTAAGTAATGGGCCCCGCCTGCTAGCCTGCTCCCTAAAATATCACTGGTTTGCTCATTTCTATATACAGTACAGTGGTAACTTGGTTCGCAAACTTAATCTGTTCTGGAAGTCTGTTCCAAAACCAAAGTGTTCCAAAACCAAGGCGCGCTTTCCCATAGAAAAGTTATTGCCAATGCATTTGCATTATTAAGTTTGTTATGAATAAAAAAATCATTTTAAGTTAGAGCTTAACAATTCTTTTTTATAATTATTTTTATTTTCAATTTCATTGTTCTGTATGGGACAATGACAATAAAGATATCGTATATTTCACTATTAATATACTTCTTAATTGTATTTCAGTTCAACAATTACGTTGATAAAATACATATTTTGTTATGTGCAAATGGCTTTAGATACCTATTAGGTCCATAAATTACCACATAGCATATATTCAACACACAAAAAACAGCGACAATTTGTTGTTGACAAAGGACAGCTGGACATAATGAAGGGCCCCATTACCTTGAGTAGCCTAGGGCCTCATCAAACCTATTTTTTTTAAAAATGATATTTATTAAAGTTTCAGATAAAAGAAACATATCAATAAAAGAGAATTTAACAGTAAAAGGAAAAATACACAATACAAAATACAAAAATATAAAAAAAGAGAAAACACAGTTAAAAACAATTCCATCTTTTCATCACTACTTTTGAATTTACTTATTTTCTGGACCTCCTCATACCTCCCTCTTTTGTATTCCAATTTAGTTTATTTGTCCAGCAATTCCTTTCCCTCTTTTTTAATCCCAATCCTGAATCTTAATATAATATAACATTAAATTTTTATCTCTTAATAGCCAATTTTCCATTCTTTTAACCTTTTTATTCCTAATCCTTAATCTTAATCTATATATAATTTTAAAGCCTGTATAGCTAGAAACCATTTAATTTCAATCCAACATCACTCTAACATTCATTAATTTTGCAATATTTCTGTAAATAATCTTTGAATTTCTTCCAATCTTCTTCCACCGACTCTTCTCCCTGGTCACGGCCTCATCAAACCTAAACCCGGCCCTGCCTACCTCGCCCGGCTGCTTGTGAGGCGCCAGGAGGGCACCCCCCCCTCAATACAGCCCACCTCACAGGGTCGTTGTGAGGAGAGTTGCCCCTAAACGAGGCCCTTCAGGCAACCACGATGCCAATGACGCGGCTCGCTGAGGGGAGCTCGCTTACCCGCCTCACAGGCTGAGGCGGCGGCGGCGGCGGCAGCGCCTCAAGGCCCACGAGGGAGGCCGGCGGGGGAGCGAGGACGCCCGCTAAGCGCCGCCTCCTCGCCGGTCTCGGTCCCTTCGGAGCGCCTCGCCTCAGCCTCGGCCCGGCCCCTTTCCCCCCACACGGGCCCGCCCAGGCCGGGCCGGCTGGCTGGCTGGCTGTGGCGGCGGCGGCGGCGGCTGCGCGCTGCGGTTCTGCGCTCTCATCATGGCGGCGGCGCGGGGCCATGTGCAGGACCCCAACGACCGGCGCCTCCGGCCCATTTACGGTACCGACGCCGCGGGCGTGGGGGGGTTCCCCTCCCCCCCTCTTCTCCCTCCCGCCCCCTCCCTCCCCTCCCTCCTCCGTCCTAAGCGCGGGGCCGCGCGTGCCCTTTCTCCCTCAGCCGAGGCCGTCGTCCGTCCCCCCCCCCGGCCAAAAGACGTCCCTACCCTTCGCCGCCCCCTCATCTCCCATCCCGAACCAGCGTCCCCTCCTCCCCATCCTTGCCCCTTCCCGCCTTTTCCACCTCCTCCCCTCAGAGACCCTAGTTTGAGGTGGGGGGCCGGGAGGAAAAGCGCCTAAACAGGCGGGTGCCTCCCCCCAAAAATGGTTCTTATTGTGGTACGGGGCGGGGGGGGGAAGGTTAACAGGGACCCCCCCACTGTCCATCGTTGTTGTGGTATTGGGGGGTGTTAAGGAATGCCGTCCCCTCGTGTTCACCTCTATTGTGGCATTTCGGGGGCGCTTTCATCAGGCACCCCCATGTTTGGGCTTCTGTGTGGTATTGTGGGCTCAAGCAGGCACCACCATGTTCGTCATTGTGGTGGGATTTGGCGGGTGGGTGCCTCGTGTTCATTTTTAGTGTGGCATTTGCAAGGGGGGGGGGAGAGGCTGAGCAGAACCCCCCTCCCCATATTTGTCCCGGCCTTCGTGTGGATTGTAGCGGAAGCAGCTGCCAAGTTCATTATAAACCCTGGGAGAGGAAGAAAAGGGAGATTTTGGGGTCTTACACATGTGGTCAGAAGTTCATCATATCCTGACCATTCCCTTCTCCAGGAGGAGATGGTGGGTTTGGGACCCTCTCCCCCCTACTCCCTATTCTGGACTCAGCGGGGTCGCAGGCCATGGTCTAAAACCATTTCTTAATACAGTATATATCATTAGCAGATAGTCTGGGGCTTCATACAATTATGCTTTTAAAAAGACAGGTGGTGCTGTGGGTGAACAAGGGGGTTTCAGCACTGCACGAATCCTTATTATAGAACTCATGGAGCCAAGATGGAGAAGCAGGAGCTTATGGACCTGTTTTTCCTAACAGTAGATTTGCAAGGCTGGACTGAGCAGGGGCCGAGGATTGCATGACGTTCATGCGACCAGTTGCCACAAACTTCATATCCTCCTTAAACCAGAGGAGGGAGATATGAATTGTAAAGTCTTGCCTGCTTGTGTGGCTTACTTAATGTGGCTTCGTGGTGGTGGTAGCAATGGCTTTGTTGTTGCTGTTAATTTAGAGGGGTGTGTGAAGCTGGCATCTTTAATCTCATTGAGTAGTACTGTATGGGTGTAGCAGCTCTCTCTTTTTGCTTTGTAAAACTTTAGAGCAGGGGTGGCCAACTCCCAAGAGACAGCGATTCACCCCCTTTTTTTTTGTGGTTCAGGTCAAAGTTGTTGAGCTTTTTTTACGCGAGCCTGCTTTAGAGTACAGTGATACCTCGGGTTAAGTACTTAATTCGTTCCAGAGGTCCATTCTTAACCTAAAACTGTTCTTAACCTGAAGCACCACTTTAGCTAATGGGGCCTCCTGCTGCTGCCGCACCGCCAGAGCACGATTTCTGTTCTCATCCTGAAGCAAAGTTCTTAACCCAAGGTACTATTTCTGGGTTGGCAGAGTCTGTAACCTGAAGCGTATGTAACCCGAGGTACCACTGTATTGGACCAGATGACACTTCCAAGCCCCCTCAGTATTGCCTTTGATGTAGTAGTGAGAAACAATCTGAAAAAGGGCATCACTGTCCAACCCTCACCAGTGCCCTGCTACAATCCATTAAAGGTTCGATATGTCTGGATTACAAGTCCGCAAGAATAATTTCTTGATCAGGATAACTCCACGTCATATTTAAGCAGCACTTCAAATGCAAGCCTCTCTTTTGCTGTGTCTAAAACTTGATCCAGCTTTTACAGGCAGTGAGTGACCTTTTTAGGTGCGTCTAGATGTGCATGACCACACTTATCGCGCCGAACCCAGACGTGACCTGAAAATGTCACAAAAGGGGGCAGAGTGGGATGTTTGTAGGCTTTTCCCAATGGTGTTTCGAATATACACAATTTAACTTAAACGTGCCTTGGAACGTAACCCCTGCGTAAATTGGGAGTCGCCTGCAATTACTTTCTTGCTGCAGGATATACATATGTTATATTCCTTATGAAATCTATTGCTACTTTTTACACATTTTCACTTATGCTGAATGGAACTTTTACATTATCTGCATCTCTCAGTAAGGCAGGTGAAAGCACTTGGAGAACAGTTGGAAATTAGTCAGGCGCCAGAAATCTCCACATTAGTCTTAGTCCATTGTTAATACCATTTCCATTTCCAGCGTGTGTTCCTCCTCCTTGCACTGAGACAAATGAATAGTTGTAAGAGCAAGATAAAGTCAAGCAATGCAGTTCATATCGTAGAATTGTAGTGTTGGAAGGGATTCCAAGGGTCATTTAGTCCAACTCCCTGGTGAACAGGCATTCTGTTGCGGCGACTGCAACCTAGATTCACAGTGCCATTTGGCGCCTAGTTTATATACCCAAGTTTCTAACAGTGTATGGAGAACCTTCACTTTCGTTAGGCAGTGACCACATTAATTTGGTCGCCCCCTACTCCCCCATTGTAAACTTAAAAAGTTGGTTGTCTGGGTAGGATCCTACTGCTTAAGGAAGCTACTTCGTAATACTGTATTCCAATTTTTTTGTTAACTCTGCTGAGTTAAATATGCATTCTGCTTGTCAAAAGCTGACCTCCTTTGTAAATGCTTCAGGATAATATTTTAGTTTCCTGTTAATTATGTTGCTTTGAATGTATACTTTATATTTGACTTCCTTCAGTAATGTTTTATTCTGGATTGTTTTATTTGGTGTTTTAATGTAGGTTGTAAACTGCTTTGAGATAGTTTTCTTAATATACAACAGTATAAAAATGAAATGAATAATAATTTTAAAACATGTTGGATGCAGTTCCTTTTCAACCTGTCTTAGGAATATTGGCAAATGCTGGAAAAGGAAGATAAAATGCTGTACTGTACTTGGTTTGAGAGTTTTTTAAATGTTTAGCACTGAAGAAAGTTAAGGCAAAGAAGAAGCAGTTCTTAACTTGCCAATATGAAATGCTAGTCAAGAGTCTTTAGAAGAACTGCTTTGGGGCAGAACCGGTGCAAACTTCATGGTTTAAGATGTGACTATAGAGGGACGCGGGTGGTGCTGTGGGTAAAATCACAGTGCCTAGGGCTTGCCGATCGCATGGTCGGCGGTTCGAATCCCTGCGGCAGGGTGAGCTCCCGTCTTCGGTCCCAGCTCCTGCCCACCTAGCAGTTCGAAAGCACCTCTAAGTGCAAGTAGATAAATAGGTACCACTTTATAGCGGGAAGGTAAACGGCGTTTCCGTGTGCTGCGCTGGTGCTGGCTTGCCAGAGCAGCTTCGTCACGCTGGCCATGTGACCCGGAAGTGTCTCCGGACAGCGCTGGCCCCCGGCCTCTTAAGTGAGATGGGCGCACAACGCTAGAGTCGGACACAACTGGCCCGTACGGGCAGGGGTACCTTTACCTATAGAGACACAAATGTCCATGACATTTCTGCACTTTGAATGAATTCAATGGAATGGTGTGTAACCAAAAGGTTCTATCAGTATCAGGTCTGAACCTAATTCTGCTTGGTTTTAAAACTGAAGAGCTACCTCTGCCTTTCAAAAGAGAAATTCCTTCCACTTTAGCTTGTGCAAATCTGTTTCAAAGATGTGGGCTGAAGTTCTGTGTGTTCAGTTCTTTTGAGTGTGTGCATATGCATGAAATTGTGCCTCAATATAGGATGTGTTTTTGAGTTGGAGCCTTCATCAGTTATGATGGGAAATTAAGTTTGAAAACTAGGTTTGAAAACTAAGAAGGAGAGGTAGTTTTTTTATTTCTTAAATGACATAATTTTAGTATCTAGATTTTCCATAAGTAGTTTCTGGTAATACTCCTTAAAACAAACAAGTCACATACAAAAATATATATTTTGACAAGCAACAATCTGCATTGTATTTAGACCTTATAAAGACCTACTTGGCTTATTAGAAGCACTGATAAGTATTTAATTTATTTGTTATTACATTTAAATCCCACCTTTCCTTCAAGGAGCTCAAGGCAATATACATGGTTCTGCTCCCCATTGTACCCTTACAGCAACCCTGTGAGCAGTATTCAAAATTTGCCAGGTGCTAGGTGCATTTTGTTACTGGTGCTGGTCTGATTGCGACTGCGTGGAGGTTTCTGAGCACCAGGTTGGCGACTGACATCTGCATTGAGACAGGTGACCTATGTGCAGCAAAAGACATGTGTCTTGATCTTCTACACTACTGCACAAATCATGGACCCCTTCCTGGGAATTGTTGTAAGAGCAAGCTACAGTCAAGCAATGTAGTTGAGATCATAGAATCATAGAATTGTAGTGTTGGAAGGGACCCTGGCTGTCATCTAGTCCAACCCCCTGGCAAATAGACATTCCAGTTGTGGTGACAGCTGTGCCATTTGGAGCCTAGCTTATATATCTGAGTTTCTCATGCTGCTTGTTAGGTAGGCTAGGCTAAGAGGCAATGAATGGGCCAAGTAAGCTTAATGTCTGAGTGGGAATTTGAATGCTGGTTCCCTACTTCTTGATCGAACACCGTAACCACT